CCCCAAAACCCCAAAACCCCAAAACCCCAAAACCCCAAAACCCCTTTAGTTTTGTAAAAATAATAAAAAATATGTCTGTTTTTAATATTTGTGCATCTTTTATCGAGACAAGTTCTTTGTACTTTTGGAGTTGGGCTTCTAGGAACTGAATTCGGGAATCTCATAGGGAAGACCTAACTTCCATATCCTTTATTGTAGCTAAATGAACGCTTCAGCAAGGTTTCTCCTTACGCTCTTCGTGAAGAGACACTTTTGGTTTTACTGGCTTTGATGTTCCCTTAGCAAGAGTTTTTGGCAAAGGCTTTGAGGTTTTGGAAGTTTTTGACATTTTTGATGATTTAGATGCTTTTGTTTTTACGCTACTAGCTTCGCTAACAGAGTCAAACTCAGATTTATTCGAGATTTTAGCAGAAACCACAAGTTGTATTTGCCTCAGTACTGCTTCGATTGCACCTGGTTTACAATCTATTATATCTTTAATGTCATCCCCATGTATTTGATAATTGATCCTTTTGAGCACTTTTTTATTAAGCATTGCCCAGTTGTTATACTTATCAGTTCTGGAACTCACTGTAGAATAATTGTGCAACTCCACATATTTCGGAAAGTAGTTATGTATAATTTCTGCCATAAGGACACCATCAGAGAAATCTCTGGCAATATTTTTATTTAGGTTTAGAAAGGCCTTGATTGTCGACCCAGTTATACACAATATACTCTTCATCTTCTTCTAATGCAGGTGCTTTCATTTAATTTTTGTATAACGCACAAGTTCCTTAATAAAGTTTTTATAAATTCTTGAATCTGGTAGACTGGCTTAAGAGTTAGAATGAACCAGGTACAGATCCTTGCCTGTTCAGTCTTCTTTGAGTTTGGAAAATCAGTGAGGAGCTTAGAGGTTCTACAATTATGGTGGGATTAATTTTTGTGTTGGATATTTTGAAAAATGAGGCTTGGATTTGGAATGATAATTGAGAAAGTAGAGTGAGAGATAACTTCCCTACCCCTTCTCCAAGAAACCCTACCTCCCTCACCAAAATTGCTGATCCCTCTCCCACCCTGACCTTCATCACCAAAAACTAACTCTGTTAAGTCCTATACTCTCAGCAACCAAGGCCGATTTCTGGCTAGGCGATTCTGCTGAAAGTCTGTTCTTGAATAGAGAGATTTGGAGGAAAGAGAACCAGGGAAATTATGCACCAAGGTTAGAGGACCAAGAACAAAGGACAAAAGAAATTGGTTAGTGTTGAAGACAAGAGGGGCTTATTGGAGGTTTATTGAAGGAAAGTAAGAATTAGGGTGGCAGATTTGGAATTTGGGGTTTTGGGGTTTTGGGGTTTTGGGGTTTTGGGGTTTTGGGG